AGTGGGTCAACTACCGTCTTACGGGACAACTCCCACCAGGGATTAAACACCTGGGACTCTCCAACATTTGGTTTTCGAACTGGAGAAGCTTCTCAGATGAGAGGTGAAACATCTTCAAGAAACTTAAAGAAACTTTCTTTCTAAACTCCTTAGACTACCCGGACCTGGATGACTGAGAACCCACACAGACACTTGAGGCCACCTAATGGGCTGAAATATTCTGACTGCAGATTTCTGACGGTTTGCACTTGAATTTTCTTCTTATCTTTTCAGGAGTTTGCTGACTCTTTGGTGATCCCCTTTCTGGAGACCAGTGCCAAGAATGCCACAAACGTAGAGCAGGCTTTCATGACCATGGCAGCCGAGATCAAGAAACGCATGGGCCCTGGGGCCACAGCCGGCGGGGACAAGCCCAACTTAAAAATCGATAGCACCCCCGTCAGGCAGTCTGGAGGGGGCTGCTGTTAAAGGACCTACAACCATCTCAGTGATTTCTCTACTCTGTTCCCTCCCATCACCCGTAGAACTCACACCCCACCATATAGCCCACTCCCACTCCCGACTTTCCCCCTGTGACCTGCTCGGACAGAGGTCTAAGCTGCAAAGTCAGATTGAATCTGTATGAGGGTTAATTCAGACCTGTTTGATTAGACAGAGGAAAGCAACCAGGAAACACACTGAGACCATTTTATCTTTTGCCGTGGAGGCAGAAGGAAATGAGATTGGCATTAATTTAAAATGACATGGAGATAAAAGATTAGGTTCAAATTCAAGTGAGGTTATTGCTACGAAACACACACACACAGTAGTGATGGCACGAGTTACAAAAATTAAAGCCGTTTGGCCAAATGCATTTGTCCTTGGGCTCCGTCTGTTTTTACTGATCTCAGCCCAAACTTCACTCGCTCTGCACACACTCACTACGCTACACACTGTGGATGACCTGAACTCTGTAGGATGCTAGCAGTCTAACTGTGACGCATCGTTGTTATTCCTGAGGAGGGTCTAGGATGGATGGATGGTCTAGGGAAAGCCCAATCAGGGAGCCCCTCTCCTTCATCTGTTTCCTTCCTCTTCTGAGCCACTTTTTTATAGTGTGTTTAGACAAAAGCAAGGTGAATGTTTTTATTATGTAACTCTTGTTTGAGGAGTCGGCGTTCTTTCGCCTCAGTCAGCCAGTGTACTAAACATGCAGACGTGTGCTGTGAGCCAGCAGGAAGCAGACCCCACTGACTGTGTCGACCAGAGTCTGCTTCTCTCTCTGTGTGTTGGAACGGTTACATTTCCCCCCAAAGTTTTTAACTCGAGCACCCGGGTCTGACTTTGCTTCATCATGTATCATTTATTGTGTAATATATAGTCACATGTTCTGTGTGGACACGCCTCGCTCACTCTTTCTCAAACAGACTGGGACTCTCTGCTACGGCCTCCTTAGTGCTGCACTCTGTTTCATCCATGTAAAGAGATGGAAAGTGTTGATGTGAAAGATGGCAGGAGGAGAACTTGCTCTCAGTCTCTTTATAGTGTAAGAGCAAAGTAACTAAGCCTTTGTAGCAGAGGCTAGCACGATGAACCACAGGGTCACCTGAGCCTGACTCTTACTGTTGTTGTGTTGTTTTTGATTGGAGTCAAAAATTCAGATATCAATAAAACCACCAATATTTGTATTTATCTACATACAGAATGTAAGTATTGAATAGAATCAGAGCTGCTCTGCTGGATAAACTGATCGCACCATTTCTAAGTTATCTCCAGCATCTTTTTGCTACATTCTGTATGGATGATAGACTGAACTCGGGCCATGACGGTGTTTCCCTGACACTGCACATAGATGATGAAGGATGACTGAGCTGGAGTGAAGAGATTCACTCAGTCATGTTTCATCAAAGCCTGCAGAACTTTTTGTCCCAGGAAATGTTTTTCAGGGTCTTAAAGGTTCCTTTAGATTGGAGTTTGTCTGTGTTTCCACTGCAGTCTGGAGCCAGTCAGTCTACTGGAATGCAATAAAGATGAGCAACCATGTTCTGCTGTCGTGATCACTGCTCTCTGCGTCGACTGGTCAGTGCTGAGCTACAGAGGCCACTGTGAACAGGGGCATTAAAGAGCCTTCACAGGACTCTTTTGTGTGGGAGGTTGGACACGTGCTTTAGGACCGCAGTGAAACTGTTTTCAGAGTAATATTTTTTGGTAAACATCACCCCTCACCTCATTTGCCTGCCACTGCGTCTCTCTTAATCAACAAATTGATTGCAAACAGTAAAAACTTCGGTCCAATAACAAAGGAGCTACAGAGGAGTGAAATACTGAAGAGTAATGAACACAAGATGTCAATGTTAAGCATTACCAGCATCTCTCTAGAGTTTCTTTGTAAGTGGATTTTAAGGGGTAAAAAACTAAATGTCAGCCCTAATCCCTGCAGTGGAAACTCTAAAGGAACCTGGTTCTGCTGATAGAAACAGGGCTTTCTTCTGACAACACTGGCAATATCCTGCAATTATCTTACAATAAATTTTCTGTTAGTATTTTGTTTTATATTTCGTTTTGTATTTTCTAATTGAGGCCTCTTGTCCGGTTTCATAACAGCAGATTTCCTTCTTGTTTGCAGATGAAGCCGGTGCAGAGATGTGCTGGTTGAGGCAGTTTTAGGAAACTGATGTTCTTTGTCTGTTATGGACCACATGTTTCAGTCCACGAGTATGTCTGGTTTTTCATCAAATTCTTTAGTGCTCTTCTTTGTGTCTTGTTTGCATTTGAATGGGAATTTGAATGCCTAAGAAAGCTGTACTTACATACTGCAGCCAGTTTCATCTTGTGCCTTGTGTTTGTGGGTGTCTGGATGTCCAGTGCTTTTGGTTTTATGGCCAGATATGCACTTCCAGTACGGCCTTTAGCCAACGATGTCAGAGAAAATTGGTAAACCTCAAGATCAGTTCAGTCCTGACCTGCTGTCAAAAAAATGAAGCTCCCCAAATTCTGGCTCCCTTCTCTCAACCTGGCAGCATTTGCAGCTCATGTGAGCACAACTGCTACATGTATGAGGACAAACATCGAAAAAATGCAGATACCCCCCAAAACTTGTTGAGTCGTGTGTGTGTGTGTGTGTGTGTGTGTGTGTGTGTGTGTGTGTGTGTGTGTGTGTGCTTTCAGAAAGTTCTAGCTCTGCATAGATTTGAATAAAGCAGGTGTGATGGTTGCTTCATGTGTGGCACTAACATAGGAGCCTCAGTTTGCAGAAGGTGATTTAGTCTTAATTGAATAGATGCTGAACTAGCAGTCATGTCATAATCAACATGATGATGATGATGATGATGCACTGATTAATTTTTTTATTAAATGTTTTCTTTCATCGAGTCTTAATATTCTTCTGATTTATAGACATTTATAGACACTGAATCCTGCTCTGCTGTGTAGTCCATGGAAATATAAGGAGACCGTCTTTGTTTCTGAATGTGATACATGTCAAACATTTCTCTTTATTTCACTTCCATTTTGTTTCCTGTGTTATTTGGACTCATTTATTGCTGCTTAGTGGCTTAATAAAGACACTTGATGTTTATTTATAAAAAGCAGGTGCTCAGCTGTCACCTGCTGTCTTTTTCACTTTGGTGCTCTCTCCCTGCTACACACACACACACACACACACACACACACACACACACACACACACACACACACACTCTGACAAAAAAAGACTGACCTGAAAGATGGGATCATGGCAAACCTGGATGACAAGAAGATGTGAATGCAACATTGTGGACAATCCCTACTTGTGCCCATCACCACAACCAAGCAGCTAACCCACCATGGCCGCTGTGATCAGGGAGATGCTTGGTTTTAAGATCAACTTGAAGAGATAGAAAAGATGGAAGCCAGGAGGATGAACCAGCTCCACCGAACCATCCATGGCGTACTCTCTGGCAGGAGTCTGGAATGTGGTGAACAACACTAGAGGCCAGTTTGAAGCCAGTTGCACAAAAGTCACCATGAAGTGTGGGATTTACCTAGAAGATGCTCTGGCTCCATTGCTGTTCTGCCTGAACCCCCTCAGTAAGATCACCTCTAGATGCTTAACACCGATCTGTAAGCCAAGAGTGAATGAGATTGATTGATTCTAGGGTCAGCGACATTGGAATGTCATCTGGATTGGAGAAGTCGAGTTGGATAGTAGTGAAGAGAGGATAGGTAGTCACCAGGTAAGAGCCTTGGTGCAGGCTGTGCAGAGATGCCCCTGAGACAATCCAGAACAAAACAGGCGGAGGCAAGATGCAGGCACCCAGGGCATACGTGGTATGCCATAACCAAGTGGCTGGCATAGAGTACAGGAACATCTGCGTTGAGTGTAGCCTGGATGTCCCGAGGTAAAAAACGTGATAGGATTGTCAAGAATGACCGAGTTAAGATCCGGTGGGACTTCCAGATACGGGCAAACTGGTGATGGCTAACCAAGCAAACAGTAGTAGCCATAGTGATGCAACTATACCAAATGACAGCAACATCAGGAAGAAGGAACATGAGAAGCTTGAGAAGTACCATGGGTTGAAAGAAGAACTTGGAAAGATGTGGAGGATGAAGGTAACAGGAGAATTGCACTGTTGCACTTGGTGGACCCAAGCTAGGCGAGTGGCTTCAGCATATCTCAGGAACAACACCTGCAGTCTGTGGCCTGGGTGTTATATGCCCTGTAATGTTGGCTTGCTGTGCTTCTTAGTATAAAAGGTCTATCATTAAGACATGAGCGGAGTCAGACATAATGAAGCTGCAGCCCTGGTGGCGGTGTGAGAGCAACAATTAAAAAAACAGAAATTAAATAGTAAGTAATCTTGCAAATGTTGTGTAAGCTCAGTAAGCCACAGGGCTTAGACGCACTGTCTTACCTTCACCTTGACATTGAAACCCATGATTAAACCTGAGGTTATCTGCTAAGCTTTTAATTGTGCGATTAGTAGGGTACATGCATCTGACTGTGCACACAAAAACATTCATTATGCTTTCTTTTTACATGCAGAATTGTTGCCATGAAGGACAATCTGGGATCCAGAAAATGTTTTCGATTCCTTAGTGTTAGTTATAGGCCTGTAAACTGATTTCACTAAACCGTGATCAAGACTGTGTCAAGAGTATTATCTCCATCAGTCATTCACAGCAATGTTAATTGTTCTTTGCTCTTGGGGCAAAAACCCGAATCAAAGGGATGTTTTCAACTGATAAGGTTTGTGGGGTTCCCACGTGTCACATGGGAAATAGCTCCACACATGACTGCTTACGATCAGCAACTGCAATCCAATATACTGTAACTATGAGAGGTGATACAAGAAGTAGTTCCTACCATCAATCAGTTCGACAATCCAAATAATATGATTACTTTCCACTGTGTTCCTGTTAATAAATGAATTCACACTGAATTTGTTTCTCTCTTGTTGTTTCAGCTCTTCTTCGTTTTGATGATCTGTAGTTAGTTCTCAGTTTTTGTGCCTTTTAGTTTTGTTTAGCACATTTTCCATTTTGATACTTTGCTTTTCACTGTTAAGCTGGCTGATATTTTGATAACATCAGGTCATTCAGCAAGTTCAGCTTTGAATATTTCAAATATTTTTAAGCATTTCAGGCATTCACAGCATTCACATTGCATTTTACGACAATGTGCTTTATTAGGCCTATTTGTGGGCCTTATTACTACTGCACATGTTCATGTTTGTCATATTTCTGAATTCATTATTGATTGATTTAAAGTATATTGAAAAGACAATCACTATGTCTTTCTTAGTGGTTTACTCTTTGTGCACGACTCTTGTTTAACAAATGTAGTATTGCCTGTAAGAAATGAACCTTTTTGTTATTTCCTGTTATTTCTGTATCTGTCAGACAAATCTAATGGCCCCGCAGTTAATGCCCCATAAAGAGCTGTAATTACAGGGAGAACAGTACTATAGTACCACGGTTACCTCAATTTGTATTTGTGTGTGTGTTGGAAACCATGATGGCTCGAGTGTAATTAAAAAAGGAAGTGGGGGCCATTGTGCAGAACAGCCAGAAAACCCACGAGTGGCCTTACATACACCCCCATGTGAAGCACGAAACCCCGTCAAAACCATAAGTGTGTGAGTGACGTGTTGCATGAAGGCATGGGTAGGAGGGAGGGCTGGGACAGGTAAGACTGGGAGGTAGAGTACAGTGAACGACTGGTTCAGTACAGTGAACGACTGGTTCAGTAGGCTCCCTTTATACCCCACAACCCTTCATAGCGGGGAGAAGGCCGGCCCGGGGCCAGCGTGTCAACGCCCCGGAGCACCACAGAGTCTGTGGCAGCACCCATCGCACCACCACAAAGAGTGGAGTGTGCAGACGAGTTCCAAGACCTGGGTCACAACATGAGACATCCACTCAGTTACACAAGACACACTGAAGGAACGAGACTAACTGGTCTGGGTCCAAGACATAGACAAGTTGTAACATTTATAGTTTCATTACACCATGTGGACTACACCTCAGCTAGCTCCGTGACATAACAAGTTATACATGTGTAATTACCTCCTTTGGCATGAAGACAGGGGGTGTGGTCAAGTTGGGCGCCACTGGAAACAAAAAGCTAAGCTAACAGAAGAGTTAGTAACGGTTTGACTCATGTGCATGTGATTCTTTAAACATAAAGTTTTCATTCAATAAGATGATAACAGGACTTGCTGGTGATGTTCAACAACAATTTGGCAACATCAAAAAGCAGCCATGTTGCTACAAAGTGTCAAACCAGAGCTGTGAATGACTGAGGTTAAAAGAAATATGACGAGTTGAGACCTAAAAAATAGGCTGGTGATGAACAGAAATGGCATCCATCCACTGTAGCAGAGATCACAGCGAGCTGAGTCCCTGTGTCTGAACATGATGAAGTAGAATAGCTGGTGTTTTGTTTTTACAACTGCAAACAATTAGAAGCAAGCAAACATTTATTTATACAGCACTTTCAGAACGACTCCCAGCTAAACACAAAGTGCTGTACACGTCACACAGAAATGATACATTGAATAAGTAAAAAATTTTTTTTAAATAAAATAAAGATAAAATATAAAAAAATAAGATGATAATTAAAATGACATTTAAAACAATAAAATGAGCACATTAGATTAAAATGACAAAATCAGGGTCATGCTGTGTCATATGCCAAGGAGTAAAAATGGGTTTTAAGACGTGTTTCACAAGTGGACAGTGAAGGGGCCTCTCTGATGTGCTGGGCCAGATTGGTCCACAGATTAGGAGCAGCAGTAGAGAAGGCCCCGCCCCCTCTTGGACCTGGGTGCCTCCAGGAGCAGCTGGTCAGCTGGTCTGAGAAACCTGGGGTCTGAGTAAGGATGCAGAAGCTCAGAGACGTAAGGTGGGGCAAGACCGTTTAAACATTTAAAAACAAACATAAGAATCTTAAAATGAACTCTACGATGTACAGGCAGCCGATGGAGTGACGCGTGGATGGGAGTTATGAGCTCTCTTCTGGTTAAAAGTCGTGCAGCAGCATTTTGGAGCAGCTGCAGACGAGAGAGAAGACACCGACTAACTCCAAAATACAGACGTCACAGTAATCCAAACGAGATGAAGTAAAAGCATGGCTTACTGTTCAAAATGCGGCCTGAGTAAATTAGGTCTTAGCTTTGCCAAACGCCTTAAATGATAAAAACTGGACTTGACAGTAGCCCTAATTTGAGTGTCCAACTTAAAATCACCGTCCATCCTAAAACACAGGTTTGTAACAACAGGTTTAAGATACTCTGCCAGGGGTCATGATTCACAACAGGAAGTCATTTACTATTCAGCAACTGAAGGTTTTTAAGATAAAACCACAGGATTGGAATCTGTGGCTTTAAAAGAAAATCAAATGAAAACAGACTTTCTCAGTTTGTTGCCCCTAATAATTAAACACTGCTGACATTGTTGCGTTCTCACTGACTTTGTGACCAATAAGCCACTTTAATCGAGTCCTTTGGTAAAATGTATCATGCGAGGAGTTGAAATGTAACTTTTTTATTTTGCTATTATGTATTTGTTTCCTTACTTTGAATTTATCATTATTTATCTCAACTTCACCTTTAACCTTGTTTTTGTTATTTATTGTTTTATATTATTATCACTATTTTATCTTCTTTTTACTTTCTTACTACATTATTTTGTTGTTTACTCTTCTTACTTAATTATTTGATGAAAAAATTGTTGATATTTGTTTGTACTTTGTTATTACTCTGGTTTCTATATTAATTGATTGTTGGAGCTTAATCTTAAGATTTTTATTTTCATTTATGTGTTTATTATTCCTTTGTCGCCTTGCTGTGATGTAATTGGCCTTCAAGTTTCTTTAATATGGTTAATCACAGTTAATTTATAATTTCTTACTTTTTGACATAAGGCCAATTATTTGGGGCCCTGTGGGGGAAAAACATCCAACTTTGGGCCCCACCACTTTAATATTGTAAACCATGCTGACTCTAAAAATATGATACTGTGCAGAAATTTATCAAGATTTTGCTTCGATGTTTTGATTTTGTGCAAAACTGATGAGATATCTGCAAATCTTTTTTTTCTTTTA